GAGCTGGCAAAGACTCAATGGGCTGTGTTGTAACCATTCAGGGATTCCATCATCAGTCAAGAGTCCCAGACTCTTACTCTCTGAACTGCTACTACTACCTATTCCCTGATCCCATATTCTACTCAACTGTGCCCATGATTTCTGCTAACTCCATTTTCTGTTCTAACATTTAGCTCTTTACAACCTGTCATTGCCTCTATTTGCAATTGGAATTTATAATTCCTCCTGTTCTCACATTTCTTTCATAAGCTCTCCTCACAAAATGGAACACTGAGCTCACAGCTCAGACTTTCCTTTCATTCCTCAACCATGCTCTCTGTTCCCTGTGAAGCTAAATGATTCTCGAATCTCTTACACTTCAGCATTTTTTGGACATTTGGTCTGGAAGGATTTTTACTATCATAAACCAGGCCAAAAGAACATAATACATAGAAGCAGAAGTAGCCCATTCAGCTGTTTGAGTCTGCTCCACCATTCAATAACATCATGGCTGATCTGATAATCCTTCAACTTCATTTTCTGCTTTTTCCACATTTGACTTTTAATTCTCTTACTCATTGAAAACCTGTCTATCTCGGCTTTGACAGTCATGTGCGGTAAAGTATTCCACAGATTCACTGGATAAGAAATTCCTCCTCACCTTTATCTACCTGGGCAATCCCTTACTCTGAGATAATGCCCTGTGGTTCTAGACTTTCCCAGAAGGAGAAACAATCTCACAGCTTTTACCCTGTCAAGACCCCTAAGAATCTTAACACATATCATTACTCTAACTCAAACAAGCACAGGCACAACGTACAAATCTAAATTGTACCATCTTCCATGGTGGCATTTGAATCTGTGTCTCCAGGGTATTAGTTTCAACCTCTGCATTACTAGTGACGTGCCAGTATGTCAGCACCTCCCCACCTTGTACATTGTGGACTTTGTCTTGCTGTTCAATGTCTTAAGCTTCCTGAAGAGGTCACTGTATAAGGCCTGGGCAAGTTTTGTTGCTGAATTTCCATTCCACCTTATATTTAATGAACCTCAGTCATGTCTAGTTAAATACTCGCTAACATAATAATCTAACTTTTCTATCTTGGCTGCTCACAATTAACAGTGATCTATTATCGGATAACACCTCTTTGTGTTATTTGCATGGTCTCCACCTGTTGGAATATAATAATCTTTTAGACAGTTAGTACTCTGCAATGCTATAGCTTTGAGATTTGTGTCCAGGAAAGGACAGTTATTTTTGTGAAGAATCTTACTTAGTTTTAAGCAACATACAGCATTCAGCTTCTTTGAGGAGAAGATAGCTATCCAGTCCTAGTGCTTCTAGCTGGAATCTCACTGTTGGCTGGTGTTCAGGGTAGCCTGTGGTTTTGGAATTTTTGAGGGAGTTAGTGTACTGTTTGCTTGATCTTTCAGCTGCTAACCAGGGCAGATTGTGAAACACTAAAGAATAAAAGCTCAATAGCTTTTAAAATATATACTAAATAAACAAATCCAGCACTCACAAATACTGACTGAACTGAATTTCTTCCTGAAATGTTAAAGTGGTCCAATTATTTCAGATCGATTAACTCACCATTGTGTTCATCAGGTGCCCTGACTCAGTAGTGCTGTCCATATTATTTTCCAAAGAGACCCTACTTTAACACTTGAAAATTAAAATGATTCCAGACATTGGCAAAAACCATAGCAGCCAAGTACCATATCAACACACGATATATAATTAAAGCAATTCTCAAAGCCTGCAAAGTGCCTGTAAAAATATTACCGTTTCATGTACTAATGTAGGTTTCATCCACACCCTGCAGACTCCCCAGTAACAGTGAGACTCCTCTCCCTCCCACACCCCCATACAAAAATTACCCCTTCTCCCCTTACCATCCCCAAATGCATAGTATCTTTGACACCCTTACTACTCCACACCCACAAAAATCAGCCACAATTACCACCATTCCCCAGGCTCCAACCCATTGCTCCCTCTCTAGCTTCCCTTCTCTTTATCCTTATGAAATCAAGTTGCCAACCACCCTCTCTGCACAGCCTCCTGTTTTTATCCCCACACAGTCATCGATAGTTAGCTGAGTTAGACTTAACTGCCTCCCCTGCCAGCACTGAATTTGATGGTGCATACTCATCCCTGGTCTGCCCAACAATCATGACTAAAAGTATTTCCTAAGGTTCACAGGTGGTTTGGGACTGACATTGCCCCACGCTATTTAATAGCAAGCTGCCAGTGAGTCCAGTGCTACCCCGCTAGGGTATCCTCTCCACTATCTCAGAGGAGGGGCATGCCTGTGACCACAGAATCTATCCCTGTGACCCATCGGAGGTCTCAAGCCACTCCTGATTGAGGGACAGATCAGTATGTGTTCAGTTTATTGTACAATTCCATTAATGCAATGTTTTCAAGAAGAACCAAGACATTCTGCAGTGAGTTTCTGACTTGCTGGGAGCCATTGGCATTTCTGAGTCAAATAGATTCACTTACAGTACTCAAGGTTGAAAATAAGGCACTTGACTTTGATTTTGATTGCTTGATGAATCCCTAGTTTGCCTAGAGGAATACAATGCCTGGTGTGGGCTTTACAATCCAATATTTATCCCTTTTCCCTGACTATGGCTACACAATATGTTGTAGACAGTGATTCAAGTTTAAAAGACTACAAGTGACCCTGGAAAAAAATCATCAAATATTCCTTGCACAGAACAGAGGAAATCTTACGTCAAATGGTGGAGCCATTTTGTTAAGCTTTTCCTGATATTAAAATAGATATAACTTGTTGTAAGCTACTTTTTACATAATGGGTTAACATTCTGATAGTAACTATTGTTTATGTATATTCTTTTGTAGGATCTGGCCTGCTTTGTCATTAGCAATCAACTGTCCTTAAAATGCTACCAATCTAAAAATATTTTATTTCCTATATACACTTCCATAGACTGTGTGATTATATAGAAGTTTTTTTGTATTATAGCATATAGTTAAAAGACGCTTTAGGATCTGCAGTGTGGAGTTTTTGCAGATCAAAGAAGCTTTGTGCAAATGAATGCTATGTTATGAATGGCTTATTTTGGTCAAATATCATCAATTATGTAAGGATCAGTTAGGTCCACAAACCTAAACTTGTAATTTGGTTAATATAATGAGAGACAGTGATCTCTTCACACTTCTACTGCCTGCAGGCAGAACAGATGGAATGCCTTAAGAATGACTGTTCATTCACAAATTGCCTACTCATCTGATTGTACGCAACATATACCAAAATTATACCCTTCAGTCTTTCCCACAAGATCAGCAGTTTTTAAACATTGTAAGAGTGGTAAGGTTCGGCACTCAGAAACATGATGTTGTGCTGACTTTTGTGTCTCCATTGTACCATTTGAGGTGATGTGCAAACGCAGCAAGGGTGATGTGAGAAAAAAAAACCTTTTCCACCCAGCGAGTAGTTAGGGTATGGAATGCACTGTCTAAATACGTGGTGGTGGCACGTTAAATTCAGGCACTTCGGACAGTATTGGGTGATAATTTGGACAGAGCTGCTATTCAGGGATTTGGGGAAAAGGAGATTGACACCGGGCAACAGAACTGTGCAGTAATGTTGGACTGAATGGTTTTCTTTTGCACTGTGACAATTCTGTGATTCATCAACGTGGAGAGGGCAGTGACAAGATGGAAGTATTAAAATACACTAACTGATTTTTTCACAAATCTAAATGTGAATCTACATCTATCTGCCCATTCATAGAACCTGCCCAGTTTTTGTTCTCTTGACTTCATGCCACTGGATTCTACAAAGGGGTAGGCAGTTCAGTCCAGCTGTTTATCCACCAGGTGTGATACTGTCCAATTGTCTCTGTAAAGTCTCTCTTTTCAGGTTTACAGAATCAATTAGACAGCCCTCATCGAAAGACAGGGCTAATCTAACATAGCCAAAAAGTCCAATACATGAACTGATCGGCATGACTGATCTTGGCATATCCTGTTGCTCATATTCCAAATAAACGGTCTCCCAAATTCCATATGTTCATCATGTTCAGATAGCTGTTTATTCCCCAATCATTTGTTGTATTGATGTTTACACATTGTCATGATCTCTGCTTCAGTTAATGACTCTGGTGTTATTTCCACAGCCGCGCTGATTTGTGGAGAAACATTTCACTTGGTCTATATCCACAATTTCTAGTGTTTCAGTTCAGTTCAATTCTGTAAATAGCTTGGAGAAGATGGGCCTGTTTTCCTTGGAGAAGGGGAGGTTGAGAGGAGACCGGATGGAGGTGTCCGAAACCTTGAGTGGTGTAGACAGACGAGGTGGTGAATAAACAATTTTCAGTATTGAAAGGATGGAGAAGAGGGCGTAGTATTTGAGTAATTAGCAAAAGAAGCAATAGTGATATAAGGACAAACATTTTCATGCAACAAATGTCTTGGGATCTGAAATGTAATGCTTGCGAGTGTGGTGTCGAGACTTTCAAGAGGGAATTGGATTATTATTTGAAAAGGAAAATGTATAGGGATACAAGAGAAGGCAGGCCAGTGAAACTAAGTAAATTCCTCCTTTGAGGAGGCTAGTACAGACATGAATGTGCAGTAAGCATTCTGAGGTTTCATATTGTATCTATGTCTGTTTTACCTTGGAATTAAAGTAATGGTCAATTTCTAAATACTCTATCTCATTGTTTCATAATTTGGAGTATCTTTCTAAGATCACCTGGAATTTCTTTAATGAAACCTGCCATAGTTTTTAGTCTATTCTTTCTCTTTGGATTTTCTCATGTCAGGCAGCATCATAGTGAATGTGTGTTGTGCTTTCTCAATGGTTACAACATCTTTCCTAAAGTGTTCAATCCAAAGCACCATGTAGCAACAGTGGTTTTACTAAGATTTTATATAGATGCATCAGCACAAGTCAATGTTAAATGCTCCAGCTTTCATTTCCCATTTGACTTACATTACTTTGCTTTTGGATTGTCGTATAACATTTGACTGCCTTTCTACTTTTCAGCTCAAGTCATCAAGTGCGAAACTAAAATGAGAGATAGATGCAAAGGAACAACATGTAACAGGTATTGTTGTTGATTTCTATTTCTGCATTATTTGTGTCTGTTACTCTTGTGTTTCCAATGAATGACTTTCCAGGGTACAATAGAGACATGAATAACAAGCATAAGGTTCGTGACTAAACTCCAAATACCTACATTAGTAAAATGTTAGAAATCTATTTCAGTAGTTGAAGAGGACCAGAGCAGACTTTACCATGCAAACAACTGCAATCCTGGAAGCAAATAATAAACTTAATACTAAATGTTTGAACTTAAGTAATCTCAGTGGGGAGGTGATGGAATAGTGGCATCATTACTAGACTATCAATCCAGAATCTCAGGCTAATGTTCTGGGGTCCCAGGCTTGAATCCTGCCATGGCAAATGATGGAATTTGGATTCAAGGAGAAATCTGGAATTAAGACTCTAATGATGACCGTGAAGCCATTGTCGATTGTCAGGAAAAACCCATCTGGGTCACTAAGGAAGGAAACTGATGCTCTTATCTGGTCAGGCCTATGTGTGACTCTTAACCCGCAGCAACATGTTTGACTCTTAACTACCCTCTGGGCAATTAGGGATGGGTAATAAATGCTGACCTAGCCAGGGAATTAATTAAAAAAAATCTCATCTCCATATTCTTTGGCTATTGTTTTATCCAATATGTTGCATACCTTCAGCAAGAACTTGACCCAAACATTAAAAGAACTTGCTTTAGCTGTCCGCATCCCAGCATTATCCTGTTATAACTGGACCACAATGTTAAAAGTTTTAGCAGCAAGGTAAGGGATTTACTTGGCAATCCTGATGTAGAGAGGGACCATTTATCTGTTGTGTAATTACAAGATGCAATTATATAATTAGTAATGTCACGCTGCATTACTTTGTTGTCATATAAAAAATAAAAAATTCTCCTTTTCATGAGAAAGCTGGCTGCCACACTGGCATTTGTAGTATTTGGAGAATGAGATTGTTTTAGTGGGAGGTGCAAAACTCAGATGGTTACCTTGCAAATGGATGGACCACATTGGAATCTTTTGAGTGTTTTGTAGATTTGTAACACAAGTAAATCTGTCATTTTTCACACACTTTTGTGGCAATTCTACTTTTGTTACTAAGATACTAAAACTTTTAAAGGGAAGTTGGCTATTGACGTTGCCATTAACAGTTGCACAGTGCTAAATGCCAAAGCTTTACATTTGATCTATTAGCTGCTGAATAGAAGTTTTTATACAACCACAAAGGCCAGAAAAGATGCACTTTTAAATAGACAGTGAGACCATTTATTACAATGAATTATATTAAAATTTTCTTTTGTTCAACTCATTTGTTTACCTTCAAAATGCTCCATGTTGTATAGTAGCGTAGAAATATTGACTAATGGAGTTCTTGCTGTTTAGGTATATGTGCCCAAGATATTGTGAATCATCAAAGGCTAAAGTGATTGGAACACTCTATTATGAAACGGTAAGGGATTGTCTGTTAAACAATATCATGTTAAAAATCCATACAGAATCCCTACCCATACCTGCTTACCCTGCTAAGGATTATGGGTAGGGCCAGGAGAAGTAGGTGTTTGATTATATGGGGATCCGGACATGCCTACTCCACTTCAAGTAGAAGTGGCGTATGCAGTCAAGTTGGTAGCAAGGTGAGACTGCCAATCACCATGCCCCTGGAGCTCCCGTGAAACAAATACATCTTGGCTGCTTCTCTCTTTCTCACCCTTAGCCCCACCGGTCTTCTTTGTAAGGAGGGTACTTCTAAATGTAGTTTTGAACAATCGATTCATCGTCCCAGTGGCATTCCAGGTGAGCTATAATAATGCAGGGTCCCATCTGAAGGTCATGGTGTGGGAACACCTGCTGTTTGGTGTTTCGATTTTCTCTGATGCCCATATAGGAACAGACAATGGTTGCATCCAAACCAGACCATTATGAATCTCTGACTTAAGACACTGAGTCCTGGCCAAGTTTGTGTCATTCCTGCAGCCTCCCGATGGAGTTTATTGGAACTGGACGGTTTCTTTTATAGGCCTGTCACTTTCTGGTGCTTAGTCTAGTAGCGCAGCAGATGGAAAATACATTTCTTTTGCCTGTTTATAGCAATCCAGTATTTGTCGGGCTGCAATTCACCAGGGGATTATCAGTAATGAAGAAGGCGGGCTTGTGGATATCACTCGAAGAGGAAAAATCCCATTTTTCGTTAAATCTTCTCGAAATGGTATTCAGTCTCTGAGGTGAGAGTTTCCAAAGTATGCAGCATAAAGGAGTTGTTTACTGACTTAGTATTGATGCTTCAGGAATACCTTAAAGGTTTTGTAAAAATCAACTAGGGTTAACCAGATATTTTAATTTTCTCAAGAGACGTAGAAATAAAGACAAAAGTTAAAATTATAAAATAAAGTGGCTTTGAATTACTGCTTATTTGGAGAATAAATGCTAAAAAAGAATGGTTAGACTGAACCAGCTATTTTCATATTGTAATTTCTATATATTGCTATGTAATTGGTTCAGACATCAAAGTAAACAGTCTAGACAGGATTGTTAAAAAGAATCATGGTGCACCTTGAACTGTCTGATATGAGCACAATAATATGGTATTAAATGGAGAAAAAAATCATGAAAATAGGTCAGAGGACGGAGATGAAGGAAATTAAGTTTTTAATCTATCACCATGGGAACATGTTAAAGTGAAAAAAAACTTTTTTACTTAAATGGTGCATCATTAGCAAGCAAAAACTTTAGGACACAATGTTGTGCAGTTCTTCCAATTGCTTGGCATTACCTTATCAAAAAAATCTGGAAAAGCTGGATAAATGGTTATTTTTAACCACTTACACTTCCGTTGGTATTTCATTTTGGTTGTGTTCCAATATGCTACATGATATTTGATTAATTGAGGTCGAAAATGTGATATTAATGATGATTATTGATTTTCAAAATCGATCACTAATCTCCATATGGTATTTGTTTACAGCAAGTTCAAGTCAGCAAATGGATTTAGCGTATCCAAAGTGACTAGTAAGTCTATTTCTTCAAATTTTCATATGATCAAGATGTTTCATTTTATTGGGTAAAACAATCACTTTAAGTGGCGGCTAGAATTACATTAGCAACTAATTTAAAATAATTCACTGTCTCACAATGTGGCTCATTCATACTTGTTAGAACCTGCATATATATGAACGCAGGACCAGTCCTCTGTAGACAAAAGGAATTTAGAATCATAGAATCCCTTACATTGTGGAAGCAGGCCATTTCGTCTATCGAGTCCATACAGCTGCCCCAGTGACCTACCCAATCCCTGTAATTCTGCATTTCCATGGCTAATCCACCTACTCTGCACAACCCTGGAAGCTGTGGGCAATTTAACATGGCCAATCCACCTAACCTGCACATCTTTGGACTGTGGGAGGAAACCAGGGTACCCGGAGGAAACCTATGCAGACAAGGGGAGAATGTGCAAACTCCGCACAGGCAGTCGCCTGAGGGTGGAATCGAACCCAGATCCCTGGCGCTGTGAGGCACCGTGCCAGCCCGGTGTCTTTGTCCAGGCATTGAACCATTTCACTTAAGCAGAAGCTTGGATGGACACTGTTCCCTTGGCACATTCTGCACATTATAGTCTTGACTAGAGTTCACTAGTCCTTTTTGAATTTAAATAAAAGTTTTGGGGTAATTGTTCCTTGATGCAATTTTAAGGACAATAATTTGACCAGCGTCCACTTGCAAACCAAACAGCCTAGTTCTCAAATAATGTAAATGATTGTTCCCATTGATAGTTGACATTCTTGCATCTGTCTGGATGAATGCAGGATAACAATCTTTAACAGCATACACTGAATGTAATTAAATGATTTTATTTTGCTAGCTCAAACAGTTGACTGTTATACTACAGTGGCTCAACTGTGTCCATTCAGAAAGCCAGCTACTCATTGTCCCAGGTAAGACAGTTAAGGCTCAGCAGGCATTTTATTCCTGTAAATTCATAAATGTCATTTAAATTAACAGATTATATGACGATGTTTTGTTAACACATACTTGAGATTTCTAAACTGAGAATTACATTTATTTCCAAGTCATGAATGTCTCCCTCAGCAACTGTGCTTTGTAATGTATTTGGGAGAATGAAGTATCCAATGATTGTAATTCAGCTGTGCTTTTTGCAGCCTCAATCCCATTCCCCAGAACTCCTTCCCTGGATCATTTCTCACCCCAGTTCTCACCCCATAACTTCTCAAAATTGATCTATTTGATCAAAATTTTGCTCACCTTGACTAAGATTTTCCTGGAAAGCTGGACATCCATTTCCCTTACATATATCCATTTACCATTCTAAGGATGTCAGATCAGTACACAGTGATATGGAAGTGATATCAATCACTGTAATATATTTGGCTTTACCAATTAACACAAAGACTGCAATCCTGTAAACTAAGCCACAAACAAAATGCTGCAGCTTGGCAGTAATACATAGTTAAGTAGGCACAACCTTTTTATAGATCCTTAGTGTGATATACCTGTCTTTGACCTTGTTTCTGCTTGTCACTTTCTATTGTTCCTTTTAAATCATCCTTCTACACCAGTTAAGTTCTTGGTAGAAACTAGATTCAACATTGTGCGTATGTAATTAATTTGAATAATTTTTATATCGTTATTATACTTGCAGTTACAAGCTTGTATTGATAAATTGATAAGTAATTTCTATAATGAATGTTTTATTGTGAACTTCCCAAATATAGACTAATTTATTTGATCCTATAGAATTAACTGCCCACCAAACTGTCTGGATGAGTTTCCCTTCTGGGCACGGGTCATCGGTAACAAAATTTATTCTGACGTAAGTGTTTATTGCCTTCTGCATGCTGTACGTTACCAGGGTTCAGCTAGAAAAGAAATGTTTGGATCAAGTAGTAGCAAAATGAGTGGAAACCGAGATACTACCTTTGTGAGCTGGATTGTGCAGCTTGTGTTTGCAATGCCTGACACTAATCCAATGTAATACCCATTGCGAAAAGAAAATTTTGTTCATCCAAATGGAAAGTTCGCTGAGTATTCTGTTTTGCATTAAGTACAATACAGTGTTTCTAAAAGCTGGATAACAGCAATAAGAAAAGGAAGAACCAGTGCGAGATATTTCTATTGTGGTTATTTCGTTCACCACAGAAAGCTCGCGACCTCATGTGGATTAATTGCTTTCTCAGTTTTGTTTTCCGTTTGATGACAAGTTGCGGTTTTGGTGCTCATTCATTCCAGCAGATGGTGTGCTGCTTTCTAGACCCTTTTGTTCCTTTTTTGCTCCAGGAACCACTTTTCAATGTAAAGGAAAATTCAGAATTAGGCTTAACAATCACGTTGCTGGATGGTAGATAGAACAAAGCCACAAAAAGCTCATTAGAGAATCGGAAGTGAAGCCTTTCAGAGTAGAAACAGAAAAACCAAATTTGGAACTTAATAAATATTTTTATGGGCAGTAATGCTAATGAGCTTTGATTTACTAATCAACTCTAATGAACTTCTGACCAAAACTTTCTATAATCTCTGACATTTTTTAACAAATCAGTTTGGCAACATTAATGGTAAAAGTTGATTCATTAGATTACATGTTAGATTCGTTAATTTACCTAAGTAGCTTTTGTGGTTTCTTTGATTCTTTTAGATATCAAATCAATTACGTTAAAAACCCAGAATTCAAGGTTTAGCCTGAGTCTATTTTAGTTTAATAGGGCAGGGAGGTCAGTTTGCTCAGTTGGCTGGCTTCCTAGAGTAGAGTTCAGAATAAAACCAACCAGAGTGGGTTCAGTCCACGTTCTGGCTGTGATAGTTCATAGAGACCTCATTCCTAACTTTACCTCATGCTTGTGGACTGGCTGCCCTCAGGGCTATACATAACTAATTATCTCTCCCTTTCATAGAGGTGCCTTGGGTCCTTTGTCGAATATGTCTTCTTGCCATTTTATTATTAACTTCTGTTCGACTTGTACTACTTGACTGTGAGACAACCAGAACCATAAACAAAATAATTGGTTGAATGTGGAGACCACATGAATGATCACACATTCTGATAATGCCAGCAGGGCCAGTTTTACTTTGAGAGGGACAACTAGGGTGGCACTTGTCTCAACCATATACTTATAACCATATAAGGTCTCAGAGTCAATCTCTATGTTCCACTTAATGAACAGCTTTAACAGGATTTGCCTAATTATGTGTCAGAATACATTAATTTCGAAGGAGCTGAAAGGAAAAGTTTACCAAATCTCGGACGCAATTCAAAAGTGGCGATTTGCCAAAGAAAATCATGAGCATAGCAGTGAACTCAAAGAAAGAGGTTTGGCAAATCACTTGACCATCAAGTTGAAAGCAAGCTAATGTGACTGGAAGGAAAAAGAAGAAACAAAGAAAGCAATAAAAGTTTCACATGGAGGAATTATACCAAATAAGCATTGCCATAAAGAAGCATTAAATGATGAGGAAAGAATTAGAGCTATGGTGTATGAGTGAGGTAGAAGTTTGTGGGGGGGGGGGGGTGGGGGGCGGTGAGGAATCACCTGTGTGTCTTACCATTCACTGGATTCACCCTGTGACAAAGAATAGGGTTGAAATAATGATACTGGATTTTCGCAAGGACATTAAAACTACATGGGACACACATTTATATTTGGGCTTACCTGTAAATGTGTTGTGAACATTTTATCCATACAGTACATTAGAAGTGAAGCTCAGTACGTCTTGTTGCACAATGCTTTGAGAAAAACAAAGTGCCTGGTTTTAGCAGTGAAATAATTCTTCTCATTAGAATGAAAGAACATGAACCTGGATGTTTTCATGATTTCCCATTGGTGCATGGGGTAGACATAAATAAACGTTTATGTCACTGTTTAGCTTTTCCTGGAAACAGAAGTATAAAGATCAACTGGATAAATTAAATCATCCTTCAACTCAGCTTTGTGCTGATAGTAAGCTCATATTGCACATAAAGATGATCATTCATCCCAGCTAAATTTGTCCTTCTGCAGACATCTGAAAATTCTCCCCTTGTAACAGCCATGTGTTCCCATGGATCTCTGCTGGCAAATCTGGAAAATTCTTCTGTATATGCACCACTCCCTGTGTGTAGAAAATGTTCCTAATTTATGTTTTGTCATTTTGGAGCTGGCTGTGCATTCTTGTCAAAATTTAAAGTTAAATTGCGGATTTATTTTCACCATTCATACAATCACATAGAAGTGACAGCAGAGAAAAAAGGCCGTTTGGCCCAGCTGGCCCGTGCTTTCACATGAATCTCCTCCTTCCCTGTTCCACATCACCTTATCAGAATAATTGTCAATTCCTTTCTCCCTCATACTTATGTAGGGTTCTTCCCACAATGCATTTGTGTTATTTGCCTTAAACATTACATTTGATTGAACATTCCAGATTCTAGCTGCTCTCCTATTAAAAATTCTTCATTATTCGTTCCATTTATTCGATTCCATTCACTACATGGTTTGATTCTCCTTTCTGGATCGTGAAGTTAAACAATCCCCAGTTTTCCTTCATAACTGGCTCATCATACAAGAGTTTGACCTTCTGGCTGCCCCCCACCCTCTACTATCTTCAGTGCTTCTGGTGTCACAGTGACCAGAACTGGACGCGTTGCTCAAACTGTGATCTGACAAGTGCATTGTAGGTTTGATCATAGATTTCTTTGACTAATATTCCATTGCTGTGACCAAGTAGTCCCAGCATTTGCTAATTGCCACCCGTTGACCGGATATGTGTAGCAGGTTCGACCTTTTGAGATTACCAACTGATATATTTAGCAACAGCCTGGATGAACAAGGGGTGAATTCAGAAAATGCCAAGCACAGAATTTCTTAAAGAAGTATTATTTCGCTCCGTGGGCAGATGTTTCCCTCTTTGTGTTTAAGTGTAGCATTGAATGTAATTGTGGCAACTAACATGCTATCCGCACCGATAAGGAAGTGTGCCCAAGAGAACAGCTCACTAAGAGACCAGTTGAGGCTAGTCCTGGGGAAATCTTATGGTAAGAAAGTTAGTACTTTTTATACTCTTCTCGTGGGCTGGTGAGGAGGCAGGTCACAGCCAGGGGCTTGTTCAGGGGGTTCGAATGCTAGTACTTTGCCCCCTCTCTCTGCCTCCAGATTGGGACAGCTTGGAGGCCTCGACCACCACCAAACACAGCAGGCAGGACTCATATATTTTCCCAGCCAGAAGAGTAGCCACTTATGTCACCTCCTGAGGAGGCAGGTAATCTCAAAGGCGGAGGGTTGAGGCCCTTATGAGGCCATTAGTTGACTACCTAAGGACCTTACTTGGTGGCTGGTTAAGAAGGTCTTCCATAGACCTTCTTGTGTAGAATTTCATTAGTAAGAAAACGAAATGCATGTGAGTTTCTCTCCATGGCCAATTCAACCCATGATTTAAAACCGGAAAGAACTGCGGATGCTGGAAATCATGAACAAAAACAGAAATTGCTGGAAAAGCTCAGCAGGTCAGGCAGCATCTGTGGAGAGAAGTCAGAGTTCTTGTTTCGGCACCAGTGATCCTTCCTCAGAGCTGATGGTAGCTTGGAAAATGTTGGTTTTTATGCAGGAGATAGGGTGGGGGGAGGAAGGGATAAAGAGTAAATGATATTTCCTCTTCTTACCAGCTCCAGGAAGGGGAAAATCACATCCTTTATCTCAAAGTGGACATATGCATTAACTTCTTGAAACTACAACAGTAAATGTATCATACCTGAGTAATAGTTGGATAAATGTCTTTCTTTTATGTATTCTGATGCTTGAAAAGCAATTATTGTGACATTTTAAACAGATCATTTTAATGATCCCAATGATGTGGCAGAAGGTAGGGTTGTCACTTTGCGAAACCAAGAGTTTGAGTTAAGATGCAATCCAGTTTATCATACAAACTTTATGTGGCTCTTAGGGAAAGGGCCTGGATGTGATAAATCCTTCTGACTCTTCAACAAACAAGGTTGCGTTAATGTATGGAGACATTGTGTGACTATGACTAAAGTAAACACATTCCTGCACATCTCTAGAGAGCTCTGCCATATACAGTAGCAGTAAATTAAGACTGACAGACAGAACATTGCCAACTATGGAGTACAGAGTCTTCATCAGTGTCCAAGATAGAAAAATAACAATGAGGCACTGATGTTGTCTAGCCTGAGTGTAATAACATTTTTAAGGATACGCCCAGTACTTTTATTGCAGTACTTATAGGCCTGTGTCATGCTGACCGAAGATTTTGTTTGCTTTATCATCTTAAAGTTAGGAATGTTAGCTACCCTATAGTGTTCACTGGTTAGGTAAATCTGTGATTAAGAAAAACAATTATTTTGGATGGTTTTGATCCTGGGAGGATAGAAATGCTACAAAATGCTTATTAATAATAATAATGGAGGTGGTGTGGTTTTACATTTAAGGTGGAATTTAATGGATTTACTTGTGAAGATGATCATTTGGATCTGGTATGTAAGGCAGAGGCAAGATGTCTGACCCTCCCATGATGCTGAAAGAATCTCAGTAGGTGTGGGTAGGTGACGGGCATGGGTGCCCCCTCACCAATGCACCTAAATGTACATCTCCCCCATCTGCTAGTCCACTTCTGAGGGAGCTGTCAAATTGCACCAAGTTGAATCAGATACTGCATATCTTCAGTGTGCAGTTTGAGCCAGAACAAAATTTCCAATCTCACATCCCAACTAGCTGCAAAGCTGTTAAATTCCTCAGATATGCATTGTCCACTGCAATCCATAACACAGATAGGTTGTAGATACACTGATATAAGTTTTCATCGCTTCTCAACCTAACTGCATTAGTTTGCTCCTTGTTTTTTTGGCATTTTAAGCTGCACTTCATGTAAATGATGACTCATCCAAAATTTTGCTGTTTACATCTCATCTCATCTCACGCTAAGCCTGAGTCCCATGTCTGTCATTGTCATTTCCATTGACTCTCTTTTTCCCAACTTGCCAAATATAGAATCTTCATTGTCCTGTACAGATTCACAGTCAGAACCTTTCCTTATCTCTGTAACAATACAAAATCAACCTTTTATGTCTTTAATGTGGTAAAATATACCCAAGTGTAAGAAAAAAACATTGAAATCAGAAATGAAGGCCCTGTTCAAAGCTGGAATTCCATGTTAAAATTAGCCATCTGTTTCAGATTTTGCAGAGGATTAGGTTTTATGAGTTCTAATTTTCAAGCTCAAAACTTTGCTCAACTAAAGTAGCTGCAGGCATATTTTGTCTTCCTTCTCGGCCTTTTGTGATCAATGAGCTGTTCTGTGCACTGAGAGTAACTTTTAACAAATTAATTGCAAATGCTCTTCCTTTTTGGTCAGAATTGTAAGGAAGGCATAACATAAATGGATTAGAGTTCATATTTAGAGCAACTTTAGTCAGTTCCAACTCAACTCATACTGCTCCCTGGATGTAGCAGAAGGAGCCCAGATGTACAGAATTTACATTAATACACACAAGCTTAGACAAATGGATTGATCTGGCAGCCTGCTAACACAGCAGTTTAAATAGCTACATGTTGTAGTTCTGAGCCTTGCAAAGTTGACTTGCCTATTAGCTTCTGTGGTTCTTGACAGTGCATGGCTCACAGATGGTGCCATGAATCAGCTGGAGTGTAACACAAATGTAGGGGTTGGAGCAATGGCTTTTGTACTTGCTGTAGGAAAGTGGTTGCAAAGGATAGAGTAACAAATGGTGCACAGTCTAAGAAAGCTGGCTTCAGTTGACGTGAAGCATAAAACCTATCAATGCCCAATAACAATATCATTCATTCCCTTCAACTCAACGGCAGTGATAAGCTCTTTGTCAATGTCAAATTATGAGAACCTTTTCGATTTGGAAAGAGGACATCTCAGTTCTCTTTTACTCTCCCTTATTCTACCAGCCAAGTTGAAGAAAGCCAACAGTATTTCCTCCTAACTTTCTGCTCCCAATCCAGCCACAACTGTCTAGACTACTAACTGAGCTGAGAGGATAAAGTGGCAGAATAGTACTGCTGAGAAACAAAACTGTCTACTGGAAATGAGATTTAAAAGAACGCCCAACAGTTTTGTACCAAAACTGATAGAAGTCTTTCTGACTCAGTAGTAATGAAACAGATATATCAGAGACAAATGTCTTCAAGAAATTTTCTTTCCTGAGAGTGAATTCTAATGTGAAGGCTTGTTTTATCTTTGCCGTATATAGATGGAGTTTCTAAATGCAGATGTGGCCAAGATTTGAGCTGCAGAAGGCACTGAAGGATTCATATCATTTTTCTGCTAATTTTTTAGAGATCCAGTATCTGTCGAACAGCGGTACATGCTGGTGTGATTAAGAACCACATTGGAGGACTTGTGGATGTGAAACCAGTGGAAAAGAAGAACCGATACACAGCAGCCTCCAAAAATGGAATTCAGTCAGAGAGGTAAGCTTCTGATAAAGAGAAAACAAATTGTAATTAATTGTCCATTACAGTTTGTTGAAAGTTTCGCTGTTTTGCAGGAAAGAGTTAGAATTAGGTTTATTGTCACATGTACAAAAGTTTACAAAGTTGGCTCTTACACTGCCATCTTATGTACAAAGGTACCCAGGTACATGATCTTAGGAATAAATTAGAAAAATAAAGAAATCAAAAGTTCAGCATTACAGTCCTTCTAGCAGACCATGCCAGGACTTGTCAACAGTCTGCACCAGGCCTCACCTTCAGTCCATGCTGGCAAATGAGTGGCTGTTTGAGGAGGAGTGTTTTTTCATAAAATCATAGAATGATTACATCACAAAAGATTCTGCAGTTTTTTATTTTCTCAAGAGAATTATCCAATTCCCATTTGGAACCCATATTTGATTTTACTTCCACTTTATTCTCTGGCAGTGCATTCCAGGTCCTAATCATTTGCTGGTTATAAAGGTTTTTACTCATGTCATGTCTGGTTCTTTTGTCAATCACCTAAAGTCAGTGCTATCTGGTTCTTGATCATTCTACCAATGCGCGCAGTTGTTTCCTATCTGCTCTGCCCAGAGGCCTTTCAATTTAGAACACCTTTATCAAATGTCCTGTCAACCTCCTTGACCTCCTCTAAGGAGAACAGCCCCCATCTTTATCAATCTATCCATGTTGCTGAAATTTCTCATCCTCAGACTCGTTCATGCAAATCTTTAATACACCTACACCAATGCATTCACATCCTTCCTTTGCTGAGGCCGAGAATTAAACATAGCCTTCCAGTTGAGGCCTAACTGGTATTTTTAAAAGGTTCACAATAATTTCTTTGTATTTAAAGTTATATCCTTATTTATAATGCTCAGAGTGCCAGATGCCTTACTGACCACTTTCTCAACCTCCCTAATTATGTTCAACAATTGTGCACATACACTCCCTCTCTGCCCTTGCACTCCCTCTGTAATTATAGTCTACTATGGATTATCTTTCCTCATTTATCCTACTAAAATGTTCCACTTACACTCCTTTGCATTACATTTCATCTGTCATGTGCCCACTCACTCTGTCAACCTTTGTGTCAGTCCTTCCTTTCAAATCCATCACTATCTTCCACATGGTTCATAATCTGTCTGAGTTTTGTGTCAGCTGGAATTCTACCCCGGAATCATTCCAGATCATTAATATGAATAAAGCACAAAAAGAAACAGAAATTGATGGAAAAGGGCGGCACAGTGGCTCAGTGGTTAGTACTGCTGCCTCACAGCACCAGGGACCTGGGTTCGACTCCACCCTTGGGCGACTGTCTGTGTGGAGTTCGCACATTCTCCCCGTGTCTGTGTGGATTTCCACTAGGTGCTCCGGTTTCCTCTCCTCCCACAGTCCAAAGATGTGCAGGCTAGGTGTTTGCTATTCATTGTCACTCAGCTAACTATGTATTCACACTGCACTCCCCATTTCTCCATGGCTTTGATTTTGCTGTTATGCAGCACCTTAACCAATGCCTTTTGGAAGCCTATATATATCGAATCAATCACATTACTCTCATCAATCCTCAGGACTACAGTGGCGTGATGGTTATGTTATTGAGGTAGAAATCCAAAGACCAGGATTGCTGATCCAGAGAGATGAATTCCAATCCAGGCAGGGCAGCTCTGGGAGTTTCAATTCAGTTAATAAAACAAAGCCAGAATAAAAAGCTAGTCTCAACACCCAGAGTATTGCATGCAGTTTTTGATATCCTTACCTAAGAAATTTGGTATAGAGAGAGTGCAGTGAAGTTTCACTAGACTGATTTCTGGGAGAACAGATTTGTCGTCAGGGGAGAGATTGGATTGACAAGGTCTGTATCCTGTGGAGTTTAGAAGAACAAGAGGGAGTCCCATTGACACTCACAAAATTCTGACAGGGATGGACAGATTGGATGCAGGGATGACTTGGGCTGGAGGGCCTTTTTCTGTGCTGTAGAACACTATGAATTTTGGCTATGACGTTTCTCCTGGGCAGGGAATTCCAAACAAGTGGTCATAGTCTCAGGATACGCGGGAAGCCAGTTTGGACTCAGATGAGGAGATTTTCTTCACTCAGTGGGTGGAGAATTCTGTGGAATTCTCTATCAGAGAAGGCTATGGAGGCAAAGTCCTCGAATATATTTAAGAAAGAAATAAACTTTTAGAGGCTTAAAGGTATCAAAGATTATGGGGAGAGAGCAGGGGGTTACAGAGGATCAGCCAAGATCGTATTGAATGGTGGAGCCAATTCAATGGAACAAATGGTGTACTCTTGTTCCTGTTTTCTGTGTTTCTGTGGTGGCAGAAAAACTATTGGATTGCTGCAAAATCCATCTGGTTCACTAATGTGACTAGTAGGAAACCTGCTATGTCTGGCCTACATGTGACTTCAGACCCACAGCAATGTGGTCAACTTCCAACTATTGTCTGAAGTGTCCTAGCAAGCAACTTAGTTGTATTGAAAAAGGAAGCTTACCACCATCACCTCAAGCAGAAACTAGGGATAGGTAATAAATGCTGACCTTGCCAGCGATAGCCACGTTCCATGAATTAATCTTAAAGAGCAATACCAGTTACCTGATTGAGAAAGCCAATAAAATTAGTTGACATGATTTGGGCTTAACAAATCTATAATGGCTTTGTTAAAGAAACAGAACTAAATGGGTTTTAAAATAATGTGAAGTTAGTGGGAGGAAATAAATTTGTTTTTTGTAAAAATCAACATTGTCCTTGAATTATTTTGGACTCTTATCACCGCACCTTACAGGAATTGTACTGGAAACTCTGTAAATGGGATTTCACTATCACTGTGAAGATAGTGTGTTGCTATGTCTTACCCTTAGGGTCAAGATGCTCCTTTGACATTAATGCTGATGATCCTGTCATTTGTTTTCTTCCAGTATAAAAAATCCTCCTGATGGGAAGGCTTTCAGAATATTTGCTGTGGCATGAGTTAAAAATCAATTGTGAGAGAACTCTTCTGGGTTTGTTTAACTGATTTCCGAGGACAGAAAGCACGAGCAAAATAAACATGAACAAAAACTGTGCACACTTGACAATAATGATCACCTTCATCATATGAAGAATTAAACAACATTCTCAGATTCCATTGTTGCATCTCATCTGCCAAAAAGAAATGGACTCTCGTTTGAACATTCCTATCGTTTTTTTTTGTACATAATAAATTTAATATTTTGTTTAAAGGCAGAAATATAGTTATTTACAGCAGTGCTGGTAAGTCTATAACTTAAAATTGCTCGTTATTAATAGAGTTTGTATTTACTCTTAGTTTGAAATATATTTTGGTGCAATCTATTGGAACTAGGATTTTGTGTGTCTCTTTTATATTTGTTTGCTTCACTGCGAATTGGCTCAGTACCATGTGTGTTCATTTTGTGAAACAAATTCTTGAGAACAGTTAAAGGGAAAGCCTTTAGGACTTCAAAAAGGTTTTACACTTTGATAGCTTTTCCTTTAGTTGCAAGTACACAGGATATGAAGCCTGGTAAATATTGGTGCACATCCAGGCTAGTTTACCAAAATGTTAATAACACTAATTCCATTTGCCCAGCTAGTCTACAGTGACTTTCCTTTGAAGATATTTGAAGCCTGAGTTGAACCTCCAAAGTTATTAGCATGGCATTTGGCTTGAATGATTTGAAGTGACAAATAACCAGTTGTGCTAAAGGTTATTGTATCATGTAACTGTAAGATTCTAATGTATGTAAACTCTATTCTCAGTCTATGAACTCAGAGAAATTGTATCTTTGTAACCTGTACTTACATCAGAATATGCCTCGAACTGTCAGATATCCACAGGCTCATTTTTGAACTTGCCGACCAAGAGGTCATGATATTATTAATAGCACAGCCACGGCACATGATTTGAGTTAAAAAGAAGAAATTTTTAAATTATACAAATTACCGTGAACAAGGATTGAGGTACACAGATGTATGGGTGGGTGCCTCATAACATTGGAGCTTGTGAGTGTTCTGTGGCTGTGCCACTTATGTAAATATTGGCTCAGGCTAATTGAGGACCACACACAGGTCTGAACTTCAACCTTGTTCATCTAATTTTCCACACGTAAACTTGATTAAAAGGTAAACTAAATCTATGAGAAGTCATGCTAAAGCAAAATACTGCGGATGCTGGAAATCTGAAAGAGAAACAGAAAGTGCTGAGAATACACAGCAGGCCTGACTGGATCTGTGAAGAGAACAACGGGTTAATATTTTAGGCCTGTGATCTTTCATCGGAACTATTTATGCAAAAATATTCTTTTCA